AAAGAGAATTTTTAAATAATCATTAATATTTATCTATACATACATTAAAAAAAATAAAAAATAGTAAATCATAAAATAAAAAATGCAATATTTATGCAGTTATTAAGATCCAAGTATGACGCTAGCAAGTTATACATACTATAAGGAAGAGAAGAAAAATTATGAAAACTATATTATTTTCAAAATTTATTTGTGCAACTTCGAGAGAACATAATTTTAAAATTTTAATGTAATACAATCTGCAAGATGCATTTTCATGTTTAAATTAAAATTTGAGCGCTTACTAGAAAAACCAAACAAAACATAATTTACCAGTATCAAACAAAATTTTACATTTAAAGTACTCAAACTAAACGATCAAACTTCTACGTAACTACATTCCAAATTAAAAATGTATAACAAAGTTTGAAATCATTATAAACGAAAACGAAAAATAAAATAAAAAACAAAAATGAAAAACTACGGCGAATTGAAATTAACATTTGTATAACAGTTTTTATATCGAACATTCTTTTGAAGAATGTTCTTTTGAATAATGCAATTAAACATGTTTGATTTTGTTATAAAATCTAGGTAGACAAAAATTTGCAGCATTAAGTTATGTTATGTTATGTTGTGAGTGATGTTATATTTGTTATAAAATATTTGAGTGGAAAATTTTATTCCAAAATGAGTATTCTTTTTTCTCTCAATGATATCAGAGAAGCAAAATAACAATTTGATTTATTTTATAATAATATTGATGCAATAATATTCTCATCCTCTTAGCAATGTAATAGGTAGTAGCATGTTAAATTTAGAAAATGTTCATATAATATTCTTACGTAAATCAAGGAATATATGTACATATTGATTTTGTTGTACATACATACGATGCATTTGTACTTGAATTCCGTAATAAATGTGAAAAAATTTGAGTGACATCGATACCTACATACAATATTTTTTTTTTATAAAAAGCAAAATTATTTCATTAAAAAGGATTTAACAAAAAGAAAAAAAGCAAACATTAAAAATAAAGTAAAACATAAAAATTTAGAGCAAATAAAATGAGACAAAAAACAAAAACTAATATTGCGATTTTTGTTATTTTGAAATAATAGCAGTTATATTGATGCCATTGTTAAAATAAAATATTAGTTAGTCATTCAAGTTATCATCATACCATTAATCATCTTTTAAATTGTTTAATAATTTATATATGTATGTACATATGTAGTTATTATATGAGTTTTATTGTATGTTTTTTTCCCATGTCATACAAATAATATTGTATGTAAAACTAGAATAACCTTCAGCATGATTTAAGAGGATTATTATGCGATAGAAGGTCAATAATCAAGAGCTATAGGTTATTTTAGATTGTTATACATTTTAATAATTGCCGGATTAAATCAATAGAGTTATTATAATATGGTTTTTTTGTTTTATTTTTACTATTTTTTTAATTTAGCAAATTTATTAGAGTATTGATATTAAGACAAAAAAATAATGATTTTTAATGTTATCGTACTCGTATTAAGAATTAAAATGTTCTAAATTGCATTTTAGTAATTTTTGAACTAAAATTTTCTATACAAAAGAGAAAATTTTTAATACATACATAGAATTTGTATGAAAATAGAATTAATTAATTAATTAATAAAATTAATTTTTTGTTTCTTTGGGATTAAAAGTTTTAAAATGTCTAATTTCTTCTATTATTTTTAATTAATTTAATTTTATTTAGTATAAATTTATTAAAGAAACTTTGATAACAATAATTCTTTCTTTGATTTACTCGGCTCGGCTCTGATGGCGGATATAAATTCAAAATCCGAAACATTGGCTTTGTGTGAAATTGTTATTTTTCGAACCGAAGAAATTCACACAAACTTATAATTTATTAAATTAATCATTTTTGTAAAATAAAATGATAAGCTATACATCCTTCTACTTCTCCTAAAAATTTAAAAAGCCCACTTTTACATTGATGTAAAGATGAAATTGATTGAAAGATGGCAAACTAATTTTTCTACCTTAAATATACATCACGGACTAATATTGTTAATTCGTTAAACTAATTCTTTAACTGATTATACAATTATAAGTTATCAGAGAGAACTAAGGAGGATTACGTGTTTTTTCGTGATAGTACGCGCACACAATATTTTATTTTAGTTTGCAGTTTATTGTTATATGATTAAAGAAAATTTTCTTATATGAGATAAAACATAAAACTTTTAAGTCGAATTGAAAAATTAAAATCTTTTAAGGTTATAATTTTTAAAATGATAAAATAATCCTCTCTTTTCGTAAATAATAAAATTTAATTTAAATATTATTTAAAGCTTCAATTTAAATTTTAATCTGACTTAATTTTGAATAACTAAATACTTATGTGAAGCAGATTTAAGTTTTCTTTTATCACTTTGAATAAATTAAATTATGACCTAATTTTTCGTTTAATAAACAAATGGATTAATTATTTTAACATCATTATTTTATGTGATTATAAAATTTAAATATATTAATTAAAAATTTTAATGTTTTTCTTAGGAAATACGTTCTTGAAATTAATTTAAAGTGTGAAATTAGAGATTTTTAATAGCAAAATTAAAATATTTTTTCTACATGTGTTTTATACGAAATTTATTTTAATTATAGAAATAAATTTGATATAAATTTGTGCTTGAAATGAGGTTGCCTCCAAAATTTGCTTTTATTCGATTATTTTAATTTTGGTTATTGTAACTTCACTCAATATTGAACTCTATTTATGTTGATCAAGAAGAATTTTCTTATACTTGATCTAAAATTATGCATTTATTGCCATTATGACACTATTGTAAATGCCAAATCTATTCAGTTATGCTAAAGTAATACCGGTACAGTTGCAGTTTATATGAGAACTTCTGTATAAGCCTTCGATTTTTAGAACATAAAAAATTTATGTCACCTACGTCAGTAATTATCAATTTAAAATATCTTGAATGATGACATTCATCTAAAAATTTGGTTTTTTCTAATTTTAAAAACAAGATTTTCGTATTTTTACTGAATTTTTAGGTTTTTAAACCGATATGATTTCACATCAGTTTCCGAATAACATTTCGAGAAATTTGTTTTCGTAAATACTCTGAATTCGAGGAAATTTTTTCAGATATACGTTCTGAGTAAGTGTAGAAATTTGAAAAACTTTTTACTATACTTAAAATAACAATAATATGCTTATTTTGTATTTCATTAAAAATAAATTGTCCTTTCACATTTAATATTTCAGCATTATAAAAAACTATTGAAAAATAAAATTCTTTCATGTTAAATGCCGTTATAACTTGTGAACGTTTCATTTTCTAGTGCATAATATGAAAATTCTTTCATAGTTCCAATTTAATTCTTTTGAACACAAAATTGTAAAGTTTACCTTAAATTCTTTGTGTACATTTTTTATTATGTGCATAAAACAAATAAAATTTCTAGTTTGCGTAAGGATCAAGGATATTACAGAATAGGTACAAATAAAATAATTGAAATATCAAACATTTATTTTGATTTTTCGGTCTATTTTTCCTTTTTTTTCATGTTTTGTGTGCCTACATTAATTATTGTTAAAAAATTATTCTTTCCATTTCATTATTTTACTTTTGTGTTTTGCTTTTCTTTTTTTAAACATTGCAGTAGTTTAAAAATTTCATATGATAAATCAAACATAATTACAAAAATTTTTATGTACACACATAGGTACACAAATGTATATGCAAGTTAAGGTATAATAAATGTATACATAGTTGCAAAAATTATAAAATTTTTTTGACACAGTTATCCTTTTTTAAACTTCACTCAAAATCGAATAAAAGGATACGTTTGTGAAAATAAAATTGTTTTTTTGAGAGTATTTTTTAGGTTAATGTTTGATAATAGAGTTTCTGTAACAAATCAAACAGAAACAGAGAATCCTCTCTTTATCATTGGAAATGTTGCTCATACATGTAAAAATTAATCACATTAAACTTTTACACAATTTAATTCTGTTTGATAAAATGTAAAAATTATTATAAAAAACAACAGAAGTAGCAAAGAACCAAGTGTAATAATGATATTATACTCTTTTGTAGAGTACCTATGTTTAACATTTTAATTTACACAATGTTACTTTACTTTATTTAATATTAGTATAACATTTTGCTGACAATAAAATGTTGTTATTAACAATACATTCTTTCCATGTTCTTAAATATTACACATGAGCAATCAAACACAATACAACAAAAAATTATACAAAAAATTATGTTGTAATATTCTTGAAAAGAAGACCTAAAAATAATATTATTACAATAACGAACGAATTTGTATATTCTATTTCTTTCCCCCTAGTAATCAAATTATTATATATCAACACATTTTACTATACTGTTATTATTTTCATTTTGTTATTGGACTACAGAATAAGACAATAAAAGGTAATTGAAATGTATAATACAAAAATGCAAAAGAAGACGACGCAGTAATACAAAATATTTATTGTATGAAATTTCTTTAGAAGAACAAAAAAGAAATGTAAATGTTTGAGAGCGTTTACAAAAAAATAAAAAAAAATTGGTTTAAGAACAAAAATTAAACTTAATGGAATTAACTGTATAATAGAAAAAGGCAACAAAAAGTAAAGGCAAATAATGTAAAAAAATGAAACAAGTAGAACATATGAATTTCATACAAAAAGGCAAAACAAAATTAAATTGGAATGAAGGCAAGCAAAAACCAAATATTTTTTTTTTTTGAGAAAATTTGCCGCACCAAAAATACAACAAACTAACAACAAACAAACCAAAAATGATAAGAAAATAATAACAAAAGTACCGTTCATTCCCTGTATTTTGTTCATCGTTTTTAACATTTTCTTATTTTTTTTGCCTTTTTTTTTTATTTTCATTTTTATGTTTTCTGGTTTTTCGCTTTTTCTTTTCCGTTTTGTTGAGTGTCAATTTCTCATATTCGGTATTTCAGTATGACTTATCGCGCGCGTTTAAACACATGTAAGGTTATGTCGCTTGACGTTTTGAAAAAAAAAATAAAGAAAAAATAATATGATGTTTAAAAATTAAAAAATATAGATGCCAATAAAACACAAAAAAAAAAAATTAAAATACACATTAAAAAAATTAACACGAGAATTTATTTCTTAATTTTTTGTTTCTTTACGATATTTTGACTGCTTTTTGTACATTTTTAAAAGAATTTTTTACAAAACATGTAAAATATTATTACGTGAATATTGATATAATTTTTTAAAACCAACAAGTATGTAAATAATAAAAAAAATTTTCAAATTTTATAAATTATAATCTTAGTTTTCTTTTATAATTCGACATTCAAATGAAATAAAATAAATCGCATAATAAAAATGTTAGTCTTAATGTTGTAGAAATGTTATATAAATGCATGCAACAAATGAATATAAATTAAAAAAAAAACTGTAATACTTACTTCTGTAATTGTTAATTTTAATTTATATATTAAATTAATATTTATTTTTATTTCAAAAATTTTAATTATAATTTCAAAAAAATTATTCAAAATTTCTTTTCAAACAATTAATAAAAATTATGATCTCAAACAACGTTTTTATACCATTCAAATAATATAACAGTTTTATATTTCAAATTAGATGCATACGACATCTGTCGTTGTAGGTACGAGTTAATATTTAAATTATTTGAGTACATAAAATTATTTAAAAATTAGATATTCTTGTTAAAATAATATTTATAATTAATTTAATTTAAAGTATGTACAAAATATTATTTTAAAAATTGATATTAAATAAAAAAATTTATTTTTAATAGAAATAAAACCTAATAAATATATTAGAAATTTTTTTCTAAAATATGAAATGTGTCAAAATATATTAAAATTCTAAATGTCGAAAAAATATGTGTCAAAGTTTAAAATTTTTACAGTTGTTTAAATTCTCACGCATACATACATAAAATGTATGTAATAAATACAGTGCATGCAATACACATGCATAAAAATATTTAAATTTTTTATTTATTTCGTATAAAAAAAGTGTTAAATTTAAGTGTTAAAAGAATTTATTTTTTTCGAATTTATTAAGAATTGATAAAAGAAGTGTTTTTCTTTCTAATCTGGAACAATAGCGAAACGTACAAAATAAAAGGCGATAAAAATAATAATGATAATAAAAAAAACAAAGTAAAATATAAAATGAAAAAAAAGTAATAATTACAAAATATAAAATATAAAAAAAAAGGAAAAGAAATTTTTCCATTTTCTCGCCTTTTTTTTCGATTTTTAATTTTATTTGGACCCACAATTTGTGTCCCGATTTCTTTTTATGCGTTTTATATGTGCGTACACACATATTTCATTGTAAATGTGTTTTTTATATTAATTTTGATTTTGATTTTTCTTTTTATTTTTTAATTTTCTATCATTGTTATTTCAAATATTTCAATTATTTTCAGTCAACGATAATGGATTCTAATTTTGGATTTTAAATATTCGATTTTTTTTGATAATTTTTTTTTTCTATATTTTGTGTTTTCCTTCTTTTTTTTTAATAAATTTATGTAGTGAAAGAAAGAAATTTGAGCAACATTTGGAAATAAAAAAAAATTTTAAAGTTGAATAAAAGAATAAATCAAAATATAAAAATTAAGAAGAGAAAAATGTGAAAAGCGAGATTTAATGTAAGAAGTATTTTATTTAATCATAAATAAGATTTATTTTTTTAATACAAATACACAAATATATACTTATCACACACACACACGCATATGACTGATAAAAGTAAATTAATTCTAACATATTTGTTATTATTAACTTTTTATTTCGCAAGATTATTTGTTATTGGGATGCACTTATGCGCAGAAGAACATGTCGAATTAAAAATTTTCAATGAACAATATTTATTCAAATCCTCTTTTATACGTCAAAGTCTTATAAAATATTCATATGCGCAGTGCGCACTGGTTACATGTTTTGTGCTCGCTATCAAGGGCATATATAGATTTGGTTAGATGCTTATATTTTATGGAATCTTTACAGTGTCGAGTTGATCCACGTAAACTATTTTCTTTGGGGGTAAGCAATTTTTGTTATATTTCGACTATTGCACATCGATTACAGCTTCGAAACAATATTGAATATATAATTAGTTGCATTCTGGCGGAAACGTGTGGAAAATATTGTTATCTACATTATATAACTACTTTAAAGGCAAATGATAACTATTAATTTTTAATTTGCAGAACGCAAGAAAATTTAAGTGAAAAATTAAAAAAATTCTAAATTAAAAATGATTGATCAAACCACTGGTTTGTAATGTAGCATTTTTCCCTTCAACAAGTGAAAATACTGCTTTTATAAACGACGTTATTGAAAACGACGTTGTACGACGTTATTAAAATAACTTTCATTCATATACATCATTGATTCCCAGAATGGTCTATAGATAGCCTGGGGTTCATGAAAACCTGTTAGTGGTCTACGAAAAAATATGAGTTCAATTAAATTAAGTTTTTTTATATAACTTTCTCGCATCACAGGTGTACCTTGCTACTGCTAGAGATTTAAATCTATCGAAGAAAGTAGCATGGGGTCTATCAAAAATAAAAAAACACGACCAGGAGTAAACGAGAGGAAAAAGCTTGGGAATCTCTGCTATATACGAATATATTTAAAAAAAAGTTGCATACCTTTAGGATGAGCAATGTGAGGCGTTAAAATAATGCTCAAACTTATGATTTGATTCTTTGGTTAGAAAAACAATTACCTTTTTTAATGGAATGGCATTTACCGTTTACAGAAATTTGGAAAAGGTTGCAGTTTCGGAAATATAAAGTGAGAAAAATTCAAAATTTACAAATTTCGAGACGCGATAACTTGAGAGCGGGTGAACGTGGGAAAAAAATTTTTGTAGCGAAATGAACTATTTATTAATGTCTAAAAGATGCTAAAATTGCAGATTCCTAAACCTTTGGTCTAGAAGAAAAACGAAATGAAAATTTGGAAGTTATCCACGTTTGTAAAATTTGATAATAGGTAAAAATTTTAAAGATCTATCTATAAAATTTCAGCTTTTTATCTTCAAGGGTGTAAAAGAATTCTTAATATGTCCACGAACGGACGGACAGAGTGAAACTAATAAGTACTTTATTAGTTTTTAAGTTAGTTATATAAACGGCAAGCATAATCATCCATTTTATTGTCAGTTAGTTGAAGAGATTTTATAGATTTCATATAAAATTTTCTCGGACTAGTTTAATAATTATGTATTTATAAAATCGTAATAGTATTTACTTAGTTGCAAATTGCAATTCTTACTTCATATTGCCATTGTAAGTTGCAGTTCCTAAAAATAGAAATTGTTTAGAAAAAAATAACACCATTTCATCGGAACGTGTATTAGTTTAAGTAAGAATCCAAAAAAGTAATGTTTCAAACAAAAGAACTTTAATAGTAAATTTTAGTTTTGTGGCAGTATTATTCTGTAGTCGCGACAAATACAGTCAAAAATTGAGAAAGCTGGGTATAGCTGATGTCATAGGGGCATCAAAAAGAATAAGTACGTTAACATCGAAAGCAAATAACTTTAAATGGACGATTCGAGAAAATATGAATTCTATTAAAACAAATTTAATACTTATAAGAAATTATATTGGAATTATAAAATAAAAATTATTTTCTTCAAAAATCTTAATTAATATTTTGATAAGCACGAAATTGACTAAGACTTTCTATTGCAAGATTGATTATTTTCTTACGTCAAAATTCTAAATATTTAGAATTAAAATTTTATTTTATATAAAATTATAGGTTATAATAATATTCCAGAAATTTTTCAATTTAATGGAAATTTTATCAAGCAGTATTATAATAATAGTATCTACGTAATATGCGTAATGTATGTATTCAAATAAATAAATAAAAAATTTTGGTTATGTTTATTTATTTTGAATTAGAAAATTTTTGAGATCTGTTAAAGACGATATACGCAAACGACCTAATTTGAAAGACGTGCGATTTTTATTGACTCAGAAATTAATACACATGAATGCATAAATATATAGGCAATCTGAATACTTATTGATTGACAGTTTTCCTAATGCTAGATCTCGAAGAATAACTGCTAGTATTAGAGAAAACAAATTTGAGAAATAATTGATTATGAAAAGATCAGTTTTAGTATATAACGTGTTGTCCGGACGCATGCCTGTAATTTCTTCGTTAAATCTATAAGGATAGAATTTTATTATAATTCTAAAAATATGAAAAAATTGCATATATTTTTGGACTACATGTCAAAAGGGGCAGGAAAACACAAAAGCGATTTTTATTTAAAAAAAAATGAATAAATGTCGTTGTATCTGCAATTATAATCTTTTTATACTGTAATGTTTCACCAAGAAAACCAGAAATGTAAGTAAACAAAGTGATAAGCTATACTTTCGTCATTTCTTGTTTCATGTAATTAGTGAGCCACTCTCAAAAATCATAATGTTTTTTTATTGTTTTAGCAAATTTTACAGATGTTACGCAAAAAATAATAAGGAGGTGAAGGTCGTTGACTTGATTTCGGGCTTCCGATTATATTTATTAGAAAAAATCATTTATGCTTTATTTTAAAATGCAGTTGCAATAATCAATTTAAATAATATTCTGTTCGATTGACTAAACAATTAAAATTCGCACTTATTACAGACTTCAGATTGAAATTGACATAGTTTTTATATATTCTCTGAGTTTTTTGTTTAAAAACATTTGGAAGTGAATGAAGCCATTTGCAATAATCTCACTAAAATAACAAATACATTTTGCCGAAAAATATACCAGGTCTTTCTTAATTCAATATCATTTAGGTGAACTTTTGACCCAGGATATATTTTAATATTTTCATTCATGTTACTTATACACAAACTTTTTCAAAATTAACTGCAATTCCTTTAATTTTCAGCATAACCTATATTTAACCAATTTAATGAATGAAAATCCAATGAGGGAGCAGTTAATTTTATGTACGTACTTTTTTTTTATCATAATGCCTCGAAATTTATAACTTAAATTTTAAATGGGTATAACTAGATATTTTTTATAATTTCGCAAAAATTTAATGAATACAAAATTTTTTGTATATAAAATATAAAAGTTTGCGTTTAAATTATTAAACCAATTTATGTTTTGTTTAAACTTATTAAATATCAGTATTCAAGGAATCTGCATATATATTTATTATATATGTGCATTGTGTATATAAAATATACTTAGATAAAGGCTATTTATATTTTTTCATAAAATTTGATGTTTTTCGTACCTCTAAATTGGTATAACAGATAAGATAAGGTCTCACCTTAATTAATATAGGAGAAAACTTTTTTAATTAAGATCAAAAAAGGATAAAAAGTAAAACGAAAAAGAAAAATAGACCAAGAAGTTATTGGGACTTTTCATTTCTCCATAAAGATTTGAACTTTATCTATAGTTGTCTGTTTGTATGTATAAATATTTAATATGGCAGAATTGTCTATGTACATCTAATAATGAAGTAAGGGAGAGAAAGTTTTTTTTTTAGGTAAAAAGGTCAGAAATTCATCTTCTATGTTTTGTAACAAAATAAGAAAAAAATGAAATTAAAAATGTTAAAAAAAAACACAAAATTTTAAAGCCCTACATTTTCAGATCTTCTAATACACTTCTCTCTACATTTATGAAAATTTACTCTCTTTATTTTAAATTTTCCCTTATTTTTTTTTTATATCTCACTTATTTGTTTTAATTGTGCCAAAGGCAAATTGCCAGGAAATTCTTTGACGCATCACATTTTCTATTTATAACTTTTTTTTTGATCCAAATCTATAATAATTTTCTTTTTTTATTCTTTTAATGAAGCAGCAATAAAAAAAAGTAATAATTAAAAACAAACTTTTCTATATTATTTTTTACAATTACGAATACGCTTTATACAGCTTTATACGTACTTATTCATAGGGAATTTCTTTACGTATACGCACATCAAAATCAAAAGAAAATTTGATTCATAGACTTAGATAATTTCATGATAAATTTCTCTATGTACAATAACATCCTGAATATTTTATCTATGGAGTTAAGTATGTAAGAATATTGCTTTTAATTCAAAATGTAAAATAGCTTCAAATGTAAACAATCATTTTTTCATTGAGTCAAAGCGCAAAGATTTTATGTATAAACACATATGGGTATGTATGTATGCATATATAAAACTTAGTATTGACAGTATATAGAAGTCATCACATTTGAAATCTTGATTTTAAAACTTCTGAGAGAAAACTTTTCCTTTAAGAGTGATAATTTCCATTTTTGGAGAAATTTTAAACCAAATAGTTTTTAACAGACATAAGAAATCATAACGTTCTATGTGTACATTTAAGTTTTTGTCGAAATTAGAATTAAAAGAATTATTAACATTTTATATGTAGAAATAATTACAGTGAGATATTTCGTTAGTGTTGTAAACTATACAGTAAAGATATATACCACTTTGGTGTACCAGTAATAACTTCAGCCTGTAAACATTATTCAACTGGAGAAAAAGAAGAAAAAAAGTTATAATTACACGGATTATATAATACAAAACCTAATAAAGTTTACGAAACAAAAATGCACATTTGAAGGAATTTCTAATTTCATTACTACTAACCGGTACAGAACA